CACACAGCACTCTCTCACACCCATCACACTCAGCACTCTCACAGAGCACTCTCACACACACACAGCACTCTCACAGAGCACTCTCTCACACAGCACTCTCACACCATCACACACAGCACTTTCACACACACAGCACTCTCACACCCATCACACTCACAGCACTCTCTCACAGAGCACTCTCACACAGCACTCTCACACCCATCACTCACACACGGCACTCTCACACCGCACCCCTCACACACAGCACTCTCACACCGCACCCCTCACACACACACCGCACCCCTCACACACAGCACTCTCACACCGCACCCCTCACACACACACCGCACCCTCACACACACACATACTGCACCCCTCACATACACACAGAACCCCCCCAACACACTGCACCACACACATACACAATACTTCCAAATATATATATATATATATATATTATATATATATATATATACATACACACACACACACTACACTCTTAAAGGACCACTCTAGCCACCCAGACCACTTCAGCTTAATGAAGTGGTCTTGGTGCCAGGTCCTTCTAGGGTTAACCCATTGTTTTATAAACATAGCAGTTTTAGAGAAACTGCTATGTTTATCAATGGGTTAAGCCTTCCCCCAAAGCCTCTAGCAGCTGTCTCATTGACAGCCGCTAGAGGCGCTTGCGTGCTTTTCACTGTGAAAATCACAGTCAGAGCACGCAAGCGTCCATAGGAAAGCATTATAAATGCTTTCTTATGCGACCGGCTGAATGCGCGCGCAGCTCTTGCCGCGCGTGCGCATCGGAGGAGGAGAGCTCCCCACACGGCGCTGGAAAAAGGTAAGTTTTAACCCCTTTCCAGAGCCGGGCGGGAGGGGGTCCCTGAGCCACATATGCATCACATTACACCACAAACACAACACGACTAAAACCGACCTTATTACACAATACCACACCACGACCAGCTCACTCTACACACACGCAATACCACAAGCAGGCTCCAAACATATGCACAATACTCTTTCCTGGCCTTTTGTCTCCTGGTATCCATTTATAAAGACACCAGAGACAAGTTGCAAGGAAACACAGTGCAAGCATGTTATTAATTTTGCTTGCACTGTGCAGAACAAATACAGGACTTTTTTCTCATGCTAGAACTCTTCAGCAGAGCTCTGTGCATGGTCTGCCCTGGAAGAGCATTGAACCAACATGCTCACTTTGAGAGAAGGGCGTGTTTGTCATTGGTGATGACAAAACACACCTCCTCTGCCCCGCCCCCTTTTTAGTGGGCCGCTGTGTTAAAAAAATGCCCGGGCCGAATTTTTCTCCCAGTCCGGCCCTGGTTAGACCCCAATCTATCCTTTGGCCTCCACATAGAAAAACTTGCATCTAAACTTTATCCAAAACTAGGTGCCCTGTACAGAAACAAATCCTGCCTAAGCCCTGCAGTAAAGGAAACAGATAGTGCAACAAATGCGAATGCCGGTCATTTATTATTGGGATGTAGTGTATGCACCTGCATCGCAAAGCCACTTTAATAAATTATATAATTCATTCTGCTGCTTTGTACTAGAATGTAATTTCTTTACCCACCAGTGTGACGTGTTAAAAGAGCTAAACTGGCTGTCGCTGGAATCCCAACGCAACCTTCATCTTTCCAGCCTTGTGCATAAGAGCTTTTCTGGGAAGCTCCCACCCTACCTGAGCAGAATCCTCTCCTCGGCTGTTTCCACCTCTGATCCAGTACCAGCACTTTATTTAGTCTACCTCAATACAAAAAGAAAGCGGCTCGATCCTCCTTTTCCTACAGAGCGCTGCAATTATGGAACGACCTCCCGCACACTTTCAAATTTTCCCCCAGCCTAAAGTCCTTACCTCAAAACAGAATGCACCTGTCATGGGTGATTATATATTTCCTACCTGTTCTATTTTAAAAATTTTTATATATTGTGTATTAATAATGTAATAATGTTTTTGTATTTTATAAAATATTTTTCATAAATAAATAAATAATATTGATAAAGGACATTTTTTAGCAAAGACACAGAATACTGGTTATATTTAGACATCATAAGAAGGAAGTTTTACATTGAAACCAATACATTTATAACAAACGTATTCTGAATTCTGGTTTTATTTTCTACAATCTCTTATCATTTATTCCCTATAAATTTATTTCATGTATATTTTCCTACATATATAACTTAATGTAAATCAGCTCGGGTAAGACATTCCTATTTCTTTACTCTCCCAAGTTTGAAGGGTGATCCAGATGTCGACCCCGTGCTCACGGTGCCTAGAGAGGTAATGGCTATACCTCACTGACGAAGCCTAACAAGGCTGAAACAATCATCCGGGGTTGCTGTATCTCTTGTGCAGAGGGAGCCGGACAGCATTCCGGATCTGGATTTCCCTTTTCGAGGGGGATCAGTCTGATATGCAAATGGCCTAGTTCATTGTAATGGCACAGAATCAGCTAAAACGTGCTTGAAATCTGAGCAGGGTCCCACAGAAGGGCAGGCTACTGTGCTCTTGTCCGTTCTCAGTATCCTCTTGCACCCTGTTTTTTGCTCTCCCCAAGAAATAATTTCTGGAGGTTTTATAAAGTGTCCTCAGAATTACCAATATTCTCTGGTATTTATCTTAGAGGATTCCATGTTTAGAATCTTCAATAACCAGATCATGGAGATTCCGCGCGCACCAACGCTGAGAACTGGCTTCCCCCGAAACACAAGTGAACTGTGAAGAACGTGAAAAAAAGAAACTCAGCTATAAAGGGAAATATTTATGAGGATTTAAGGCTTCTTTAGAAATGCTGACTTTTAAAAGAGGCTTTTGTTGATATCTTAAAGGGAAAAAAATGGTAAATAGCACAGATAGAAAAAATCAATAATGCATTTGTAGCCTGCCTCCAGTCCTCCAAATCAGAGCCTTGCTTAATGTTTGAAATTAAGCTTTAAATTATTTTACCTCCAGGGAGGTGGAACCCGGCCACATAGCGCGACACAAAACATGTGTTTAGAAAAAATCAACAAATATAAAAAATAGGCAATAAAGTGAAATAAACAATTGTATTGATTCTTCTTTCCCAATCTTATGTATAAACAGTCAAAACGGCTTTATTGTTGGTCTTAAAAGATTCTCTGCAGATAAGGTTATCTCTGTTCTGTGCGTCATTGAAAGGGTTAATATCGAAAATCAAATCGAAAGAGATAAGTACGTAGTCATAGCAGACATCGCAGTCCATCGCGTCTGTATATATTAATTATCGAATAAATCTGATTCACATCTTTAAACAGTCTATGAAGCTCGATACTTGTTTTGGAAAGGTGCAGCTCTCGTTATCTGCTATAAGAGTCATTTTAAACAGTTTATGGATATAAGCTAGGAAAATAAAAAATCTTACAAAAATCTGCAGTAACCTAAATAATAGCAAAACATGTAACCTAAATAATAGCAAAACATGTAATCATCAAACATAGCGGAGTGGGGCGAAGCTGATCATTGAGAAACCGAATGTAGACTAAATGTACAGAAATGTGGTTATTAGTTTGGTGACTGACTGTCAATGAAACGTAACTCATTATTTAATTAATAAACACTTAAACAATTAAAATCACAAATGGACAATTTATACCAAAGAGAAATGGGGTTATAGTAACGATGGGACATACTTTATATGGATGGAACTCACAGGATACACAGCATATAGGAGAACGGTGTCTCCCCACTGTATTGGGGGGGCCGTTTGTTTCCACCGATGTTGACTTTCCATGATAAAAACTCACTCACATTCCAGGTGAAAGAGGAAAACAGGAGGAATTAAACAGGCCCCCCTCATGGGGAGACACAGGTGAGCACCATATATCTTCTATATTATGTGAGTGCATATAATTGTCACTGTATGGTTTTAATTAATTTTTAGGAGCGAAGCTGTAACCTCCTTTCTGTTGTATATTCTGAGGATTTAGAGGCTTGGCGCGAGAAGCTGCAACAGAGCTACAGCCATCGATATATAAGTGAAAGAGACATTACAGACCCCTGAAGCATTTTATCTTACTGTGTGAAGACTGTGTGCTCTTTTTTCATTTTATAAAAAGTGCAGATATCAATACAAATTGTCACTTTTATAGATGAACCTTGTTACACCCCCCTGGCTGTCAATCTGATAACCAGTTCAGTTACTTCCTGGTTTGGTTAGCTCAGTGGAGATGACCTCAAGAGGCAGCCATTCCCCAGAGCACCTGCCTTGCAAATACTTCTCACTGAGCTGCATTGGGAAGTCTGTGATTGGACAGCCACAGAAAGTCTGGGTGGGGTTAGAAGGGGAGGGCTTGTAAAGGGTGCAGACAAAAGATCTCAATTTTTTTTAAGCTGGGAAAATGCATAAGTAAATGTTTTAATTGGCGTAAAACAAACTAAACAAGGATTTTCATTTATTTTTATTTGGGCATTGGAGTGTCCTTTTTAGTATAAAAGTGTCATTTATTTAAACAATAATTCTGGTTGTTTTATGTACAAATAAGCAATTGCCTTTAAGTACACACATGCCCTACCATTGTGTGGACTTCGTGCATCATATCGAGATAGACAGAGAGTGGAGCGGAATGAGATTCTGGTGTAGCTAGGTCTTTATATCTCTATAGATACAGCAGGTTCTTGTGAATTTAAATGTTGCTATCGCTTTATGTGTGCCTTTATTCAAATTGCTTATTGGGTCATGTTTTCAGCTTGGCATGCTTATTAAACACTTTGAGATGAATACCCTGCACACGCAGTAAGCATCATTTACTGAACATGACTCAAAAACATCAAGTTTCTTTAAGGTCAATAGGACAATACGGTTGAGAAGAAGAAAGAGGGAAAATGTGCATCAAGTGTCCCCAGTCCTGGCAGGATTATTGCACGTTCTAGGCTTCTCCTCTGTCAGAGAATTACATTCTTTAATAATTATATGACTTTTTGTTTTATTACCCTCATTGTATTGTCCTATCCCATGTTTATCCTGATCTTGTCTATTGTTCGCTTGTCATCACTGTACTTACCAACAAGAAGGCCAATTCATTATGTCTCGTCTGAGTTAGGGCTGTCACTGTTTTCAGGGTTTACAGAGCAGAGCAGATCACAAAGCGTTGTAAGTTCTGTAAATAAAGCATAAAGCTTCACCTCTTCAGATTCCAGGATGGATAATCCACCAGCAGGAGCCCATCCTCACTTCCTTTGTGTAAAGGGACAAAAACATAAAAACAAAAGCAAAGAATTCACAATCTGGAACAA